GAGACAATAATTTAACTGTTAATTGACTTTTCTTTTTCTTCAAAAAATATTTTAATTAATATTACTCTATTGGCTTGTAATTACTGTCTCCAGCAGTTATTTAACTGTCGGAGACAGTAATTTAACTATTAATTGACCTTTTTTTTCTTAAAAAAATATTTTAATTAATATTATTGTCTTTGCTCTAAATTACTGTCTCCAACAATTATTTAACTGTCGGAGACAGTAATTAACTGTTAATTATTATTTTTTCTTAAAAAAATATTTTAATTAATATTACTCTCTTGGCTGCTAAATTACTGTCTCCAACAGTTATTTAACTGTCCGAGACAGTAATTTAACTATTAATTGTTTTTTTTTTGAATTTTATTTTTTGTTAAAAAAAATTATTTTAATTAATATTACTGTCTTGGCTGCTAAATTACTGTCTCCAACAGTAATTTAACAGTCTTATGCAATAATATAACCGTTCGGAAAAATAATATTCATAATATTACTATCCCAAACAGTAACTTACTATACAGAAATATTAATTAAAATATTTTTTCTAAGAAATTTCAAAAAAAAAAAAGAATCGAAATAAAAAGTTAACGGCGGAGACCGGCTGTCAACTATGGTTGACCGGCCTGAAAAAAAAATTCAGAAAAAAAAAAGTTTTCACAAAAAAAAAAGTCAACGTCGGAATCTGGCCGAATAAAAAAATCAGAAAAAAAATTATTTTCTGAAAAAAAAAATTTCAAAAAATTATTAAAATGGGGGTTAACGTGATAATTTGTTTAAATTCGGGGTCAATGTGTTATATTAAGGAAGTTAGAACATAATGGATGGAATTGACAAAAAATATATTATGGAGGGTATTTGTTACTAAAGATTTGGGGATGGATTTATTTGAGAGACTGTATTTTTATTTTTATTTTTTTTGTGAACCAATGTGCATTTAAGGCCCTTAGGATGAGCCTTTTTGCCATTCGCCCTAATTCTCATTGGAGGAAAGGAACTTCAAGTAATTTCGACAAAGCAATCCCCTAAAAACGACATATAATTAGAGACAGATGGAGTAGTCGAATATTATATATATATATATATATATATATATATATATATATATATATATATATATATATATATATATATATATATATATATATATATATATATATATATATATATATATATATATATATAGATATATATATGTATATATATATATATTCTTTGAATTAATAATACACATCAAGTAAAACTGGTTATGCTAAGGAATGTCAAATTTGATTCGAATTGCAAAATAACTACTTAATTCGTAGAAGAGTTATTTATTGGTATTGGTGGAAATATCGAAAGAAATTATGGAAAAATAAGGGTTTTCTACGAACTCAAATTGTATTTGAGAACGAAACGAACTCTATCTCAAGTGAAACGGCGCAAGGAACAAAATTCTTGAGCAAAGATCATGAATCACGTCAAATTTCTGCAATCCAGCGTCATTTAGACTCCTAAAAGTTCGTTTTTGCTATTTTAGGCAAGTTTTAGAAAATTAATATCAAATTATAGAAAAATCGTATTATTATGATTCCAGAAATTGGATTGTTCCCAAAATTACGAGATCTACTAGAATTAGGATCTAACTCGTTTTTGCCGTTTTTGGTAATTTTTAGTATTTTTATAGTTTAATTAGGGTTTTCAGTTTTTTAGTATAAATAGTTGCCTTAGAAATTTATTTTGAGAAGTATTTCAAATTTTAATAAAATATTTAGAGTTTTCTCTATTTTTCTGGTGGATTCAAGAGTTTTCGGTGGATTCCGAATGTTATTTTGTTCTATAGGATTAATTCGTAGAAATTAATTATTTACCGTACTTCCGTCAGGTTACACATAAAACAGAAGGAAACCACGAAATTCAAATAAACTTTGAAATTTATTATTATATCAAAAACTTCAAAAAATTAACTGCTATTATAAATTAAACAACATAATTCAAATAAGCAACATTAATTGAACACGACAGATTTACACATCGGACAAAAGTTCTTCACACGCAGCCACTATTTGATGCAATCGAAATGATATTCATGCTTGCATTCGAGAACTCCGATATTATTATTTTCTTGGCACAAAGCATCCAAACAAACCGCACAAACTTCCCTCTCTTCCGAGCCGTATCGAACATTATCGATATCAGGACAAGAATTAATAATCTTTATTTTCAGACACTTTGCAATCTGATCTTCGGACAAACCATCGCTACTATTATTATTATCGATCGCCGTCGTCCGATCGTCTAGTTCAACAATTCTTGGATGTTGATCGTTGTTGGATAAGTAGTGGTATGCTAGAGGGACAAAGGGGGAATAAGGGAGAAGAATACGGCCACCGGCGGCTGTGGTGGCAACATGGCCGGGAATTCGCCACAACCGCCGCTGAGTGTGATGATCTCCGGCGAAGTTGGCTTGACCAGGTTGTTGTTGATGATCCATTAATTATTAAAAAAATAAATAAAATTGTGTGTGAGTTGGAACATAATATTGTGTCCTATTTATAATATTTAAGATTGATTCTATGTTTTGTACGCTAAAATAGAGTCTTTTGTATTAATGTAGTAGGAGTTTGAACCTAGTTATATGGCTTTCTTTATTGGGTAAATTACAACCAACCCCTGAGGCATGGTCAAATTACAAAAACCCCCCTCATGTTTGGGTAATTATAATCACCCATCAACTATGAATGTTCTTACACATCCACCCTTGCGGTTTCAAATTTAGTGGAATCTTCGAGATTATATGAAATATTATCACTTATTTACATGTTTTATACTATGAACTCCACATTTTGAAGCATGATGATCATAATATGTGTTTTTTGTCTTGTATATATCAGATTGTAGTACATTAGAAACTATATTTTTACACAAACCGAGAACAAAATAGAGCACATTCCACAAAATTCAGATGAATATATTATGTTGAATTTGACACCATAAGGGTGGAGCTGTAAGAAAAAATCATAGTTGAGGGGTAGATGTAATTATCCGAACAAGAGGAGTTTTTTTGTAAATTGACCATACCTGAGGGTGTGGTTGTAATTTACCCTTCTTTATACATAGCTGCTATTGTGCACGGACGTGGATACGCAAACACGGTGATACGCGGATATGAATATACTTAGCTGCTCGTGTTCTTGGTCGCACAGTTTTGCACTTTTGGGTGGACTCTCAAAGAAGACAGGGGAAATGTGGTATTAGAGAGAAAAGAAAATGCATATTTGTTTATTAGGGCTTTAATTTCTCTTAAAACATAAGAGCCGTGTCCCAACTTTTTAAAAATTGCGGACACTATCCGACACGGGTGTCCTACTTATAGCGAAATTACGACACAAGTGTCCAAAGCGTGTTCGAGTGTCTAGGTGTCGGATACGGGGACTCTGCACCTTCTAGAGGTGTCCGTGCAGCATAACTTAACAGTGTAAAGAGCCCATTATATATATATATATATATATATATATATATATATATATTGAGAAATACAAATCTTCTTACAAATTGGGAAAGTAGGGCAATGACAGAATTCGAATTTGAGTTCGCCAAGACAGTCAGGCTCGGCTCGGCTCGTTTATACCACTGTTTTTGCCGTAATGCTCTCCTTTTAAATTAGGAAAATATTTTGGATACCGTTGTAATTTACACGATACCTCTTGAATCCTTATTAGATTTTTTTTACCTTTTGTTATTTTTTTAAAACGCAAGAAAATTAAAAGTAAGGTTGATTGATGGCCTGACTTAAATGCAATCGTATCCCCACTTCAGTTCACAAAAAAACCAATCACATGTCTTTTGACGAAAATACCATCCCTTATATTCGAAACAGATGTCGGGCTCCCCAACTTGTTCTTCCAACTCGCTTCTCTCTCCACAACGGCTCCACACCATGACTTCTCAATACTTCCGACTGTTTCTCCCTCACCAAAACAGAACCAAAATTACTTTATCTTCCCAAAAAATATGAGCAAATCGTCTCCGAGGCTTCCATTTCCGCAACTATTTTGCATTTTAAAGACGTTGTCGTTGAAACAATTTTCCTAACGACGCACAAATTTACTGTTAGACATGGAAGCACTAGAAGAAAAATGAATTTTTACTAAGACCATTAACCGTAGTAAAATGTGTATCAAATTCGTAGTAAAAAGGCTTTTGCTACACATTTCCTACGAATTTCCCTCATAGCATATACGGGCGTGACAAAAGCTTTGCTACGGTAAATGGCCGTAGAAAATACTAAAGTAAATCCTAGCATTTACTACGACTCCAAGATTGTCCCGTAACAAGAGATACCTTTTGTAACGACTTTTTACCGTAGCAGAAAAAATCGTAGTAAAAAGTCATTTTTCTGCTAGTGACACTAGTATAAATTTTGCTTAATACTACGAAGTATTCATACTCTGAGTTTCATTTTCTAACTGCAATTTTTGCACCCACGGTAATATATACTAATATTATTAGGGTTGTCCTCGGTAAAATTGTTGTGCTAAATGATTTTCTGGTATGATAATGTGATTTTGTTTTTGTTTGTATTTCAATTTTTTTTCCGAAAGGGCCATATTCGATCTGATCCCTCCAATTAATTTCTACCCTAATTAACGGAACGATGATGGAATTAAAACTCGTTTTGATTATAGGATGATCTACAAACTTTGCAGTAAGTTACATCATGTACAAATATCTTCTTTACTATTATTTATATTGTATCAAATATATAGATGTTCTTTGAATTAATACACACAACAATTGTAAATTGGTGTCCAGAAAACAGAAGGAAGTAATATAATCGAATTAAGAAACTTTTACATTAATTGTTATATAAAAGAAAAAAACAGCAAAAGAATACATACGAATTACATAATTGGATGATACCTAAAATACACAAAATAACTTTTTTTTTTTTAATAAAGTGAATATAACGTCTTTACATATGATAACGGAACCGAGCCAATCGAACATTTCACGATTAATTAACATGAACTACGTACAGGACAACACTTAAACGCGACGGCTTTACACAGCGGACAAAAGTTCTTCATGCGCAGCCAACGTCGGATACAATCTGAATGGTATTCATGACCGCACTCGAGAACTCCGATATTATTCTTATTATTTTCTTGGCACAAATCATCGAAACAAATCACACAAACATCACTCTCTTCCGGGCCGTCTCGATTATTATTAGCGATATCGGGACAAGAATTATTAATCTTTATTTTCAGACACTTTGTGATCTGATCTTCGGACAAACCGGCGGCTGTCCGATCTGCATGTTGAACTACTCTTCTTGCATATTCTTGCTGACGTGGACTACGAAGAATATTACTCACGTTGAAAATCAGGGCTTGGTCTTCTTCTTGAACATGATACGTTGACCTCCTCCTCGTCGTCGTCGTCGTCGTCGTCGTGGTCGCGTAGTAATTGTTGTTCGACAAGTAGTAGTGCTGCGGAGGGATGTACGGCGAATACGGAATCAGAACATAGCCGTGGGCAGTGGGGAAGATACGGACAGCTGGAATGGGCCATGACAGCGGCGGCGGCGGTGGCGGGGGATGATGAAAGGTGGCTGCGCGCTGGAATTCTCCGGCGAAGTTGAATCTACGAAGGTGAGCCACTAAAGAAAAATATATAATTGCTTGTGAGAGAGAAAAATGAGAGAGTATGCAAGAAACCCTACATATGAAGCCCTTTTATAATTAAGATGTTGTGATTTGTAGTTTGTACGCTATTTAATTTAATTGATGAATTACTTGCCATGTGTTGTAATAAATAACTGCTGATATGTAATATGAGTTTGAATCTCTGTTTTACCTTTTTCTTGCATTAATGCTCTCCTTTTAAATTAGGAAATTTTTGTTGAGTACCGTTGTATGTTATAAGATGGCCGCCTCTTCGAATTTCTATGATTATTTATTTATTCTTTTATTTTATTTTTTATATTACTGTACCGTGGTGATTCCTTAGAACTAGGGGTGGAATGGACCGGAAATGGCTTTTTTTTGAAAAAAAAAGAATTATTTCCGAAGTAAAAAATGGGTTTCGATTTCATTTTCAAAAAAATCGGAAAGCAAAAATTCATTATAATTTCGGAAATTTAAATATGTACATACACACACATAATTTATATATATGTTACGACTCCCTCTAACCCATTCATGCATATTCTATTTTACTCAAGACTATATACCATTGCAATTTCAGGTGAAATCAAAACAAAATTTCCGATTTATTTCGAATTTAAGCCGAAGAGTTTCAATTTTGGATCGGAATGATTTCGTCAATTTAAAATTTCGATTTCCAAAATTTGCCAAAAAAAAAAAGAGAATAATCAGATGGGAATCAGGAATACATATCAAGATTTTGGAACTTCCGATTCCGATCAGAAAATAGTTCCGATTGTTTTATGTATATTTCTTATTATTTCCAAATATTATTAATATTTTTGAATATTATTCATTTTCGATTTTGTTTTTGTTTTGAAGATTATAAGTTAGTACTAATACTGATACTGAAAGTAAATTATAAAGTCTTAAAAGCGAAACTCTAAGTCTTAAATAGGTATTAAATCAACGATTGTTACTTATTTCTATAATTCATTTGATCATGGAGCCGCTAATTACTCTAATGTGTTGGTTATTTATTTTTATATATATTAGCATTTTTTCCTCCGTGCGATGCATAGAATAGCGTTTCAAAAGTGAAAAATAATGATTAATTTAATACATGACAATGACAATTATAATAAACTTTATTAGTGATATCGGTTACAACGTTAATATTTATACAAATTTAATAATACAAACTCAATTCAAAAATAATATATATAAACTTAATATCATTTTTGAAATCCTTCTGAGGTGAGGAGTAATTCACAACTCTCACGTAGAATAAGTATGCGTGAGTAACTTATATTTTTTGTTTTGTTTTTTCTTGCACTTTGTGGATTAGTAGAATATTTTCCCCAGATTGAGAGGTTCGTCAGATAAAAATATTTATCATGATCGATGCTGGGAAATCGAATCTCTTGCTGATTAAATTGCAAGAACTGGCCGGTGAAGAGACGCGGGATGTCTTTCGGAACTGTGGGTATGGAGCGCACGACGGTTGTTCCACCAGAGGAGGTAGGCGCGCGTCGCGAAGACGCGCGCTTTGACGGTGCGCTGGTCGAATCAGACGAGCGAGACGCGCGAATCGAGGAGGTAGGTGATGGCGTGTTGGGCAATGAGGTTAACGACGCGTACGCGAATGGACCAAGTGAGTGGGTGCGCGAATCGAGGCACCGTCGGGCGGCCGTGCGAATGGGCGAGATGCGCGAATTGATGGGTGCAAGAATGGGATTAAAGCGCAGGGCACGCGAATCGAGGTGGAGGGCGCGCGTCACGAGGTTGGGGTGCGCGGTCTGACGGGCGCGCGATTGGGATTGACGCGCGGGGCGCGCGAATCGATGTGGAGGGCGCGCGTCGCCATAGGCAAGCAATTAGGATTAACGCACGAGGCGCGCGAATCAAGGTGGAGGGCGTGCGTCGCGAGGTGGACGGCGCACGATCCGATGGGCGCGCGACTGTGCAAGACGTGCGAGATGGTGATCTCGATTGGCGAGAAGCAGTTGTTGCATGGAGCGACAATTTGGGACCGAATGTTGGTACTTTTGAGTCGACCGATGGGGTTGGTACTAGCCGGCGTCGTTATGGACGCCAAGTCTTAGATTTTGGAAGCGATATCGACGAGTCACTCAAGTCGTAGATTTTGGAAGCAATATCGACGAGTCACTCAAGTCGAGTTTGTCTAGTGAGTCCAAGTGGTCAGGCAGTGCAGTAGGATCAGAAGTTGAAGTGGAAGAAGAAGATGACATTCCGCTGGAGGATGTAGCAATAGATCAATGTTTTGAAAACCGGACCGGACCGGCCGGTCCGACCGGTTCAACCGCGAACCGCCGCCATGTCCGGTCCGGTTAAATGTGAACCCAAAAAGCTCAAAAAACGGGGTCAACAGCAAAAAATCCGGTTGAACCGGTAAGAACCGGTTAACCCGAAACCAAGTCCTCGAACCGGTTTTCAGCTCAAAACAAAATATCAATGTCGGATCTACATCAATGGTGGTCGTAGGTGAATGAATCTTGACGGGAAAGGTTGTTGGTGAACGGATCTAGACAGATTTGGGTAGTATCTAACCCAATCCAATTTGTGGCCGCCATAACTTTCCACCGGGAAAAGAAACGAAGGTGAAAGTGAAAATAAAGAAAAGAAATGTGAAGCCTATCAAATAATCATTTATGTATTCTATTTTGGAATCCCAAGTTGCACAACTTACATCCAACAAAATTACATTATATCATCATATCTTCAATTAATACATACATAAAACAATTTTCTTCATTTAGACTAATACTCGAGTCTTTTTGAAACTCCTGCAGTGTGCACAACGAATCCATGCATTAGAAGCTGAATTATGAGCATAAGTGGAGCTAGAGTTCTTTTTTTTTTTTTTTTCTTTATTATTTTAAATGTTATTTATACGTCAAACTTGTATTACGAACATATATTAACTTAAATGAATTACTTATGTCATTTGATGGAATAATAATAATTATAATAAAAAGGGTAAATTGCACCTACACCCCTGATCTATGCTACAATAATTTTAACGTCCCTATGATATTGGTAATTACAGCCACACCCCTGAAACAATTACCAAAGCCAAAATTTCATGTTCTAGGGACCAATATGCACTATATTTGTTTTCCGCGAGGCCGTTAATGCTACCATAGATCCAAATTTATAAATATTATATAAAATAAAAGGATTTAAGAAATGCTGGAGGAGCCATGTCACCCCTTAACTCTATGTTGTCTCTACCATTACCTTAAACTAATAGTCTCGTAGAACCATAACGGAATAACTTATCCAATACAATTATTTCGTTAGGGTTTCTAACAATGCTTCAGCGAGGTGATTGTAATTACTGATACCATAGGGACCTTAAAGTAATTTTAGCATACCTTAGAGTGTAGAAGTAATTTAGTACCTGTTAAGTATATATTTTTATACTTTATTGTACCTTTTTATTTGAGCTTTTGGTGTGATTTAACGATAATTGGTGCTTAAAAAGTTGATTTATTGTATTTTAGGTATAAATTAAAGAATTGGAAAAGTTTGGGGTCAAAACTGCAAATTTGGAGAAAATATGGGCCAAAAGTGAAATAATAAAAAATATGCTGAAATTGGCTGAAAACAGGCCCGCACGGCCGTGCCAAATGCTGAATTTGGACAGAAGGTTCGGCGATTCTCGCGCGGCCGTGCGAGAATTGCACTGATTTTCGGGCGGCCGTGCCAACACCCGCGGGAGACAATTTTGAACTTTTAATCACACAAGGAAACCTAAAATCATCTACCAAGTTGGGACATCTATTTAAGCCCAAACCAAGCACGAATTAGAGGACTTTTGACACAACCTTGGAGCGAGAGGAGCGAGAGAACGAAGAATCGAAGACGGAGAATTGACAACTCTTCATCACAATTCTTCTTTTATCTATCTTTTCTTAATCTATTCTTTTTATGTTTTTATTATGTTTTTCGTAGAGAACATGCGTAGCTAAGTTTTTAATCTAGGATTTTGTTGGAACCCTATGTGGGGATTGTGAACCCGTTTTCTTGAGATTATGCAATTATGATTTTATGATTAATTCTTATACTTGTTATGATTGTTAGTGCATGAACTTGATCAATTTATGTGCTTTATCTGTGATTATTGGGATTGACTCGACAGAGCTATTTTGATAATTAGACGGTAAGTATAAGAGCCTTCGAGTAGTTTTCACCGGCTGAGTGTGTCAATTGCATGTGGTGTCGTAGACATACAGATATCACCTTAGGTAGCCATTTACGAGACTTGTTAGTTAATGCTTTATTTATAATTGGTTTGCATAGACATATAGTGAATCGTTTATGAATAATAGACTCATAATACACGCGACAGCGGGTTATGAGTAAATTAGTGTCTCGGGTTAATAATCATGAATCATATATTTCATAATTGAGGGGTTTTGGGTGAGCAATTCTTGCATAGGGGGAAGATAAAATCCTAGATCCGTTTTATATTGATATTTTCTCGTGATTCTTTGCTTCCTTAATTAGTTTAGTTGTTTAATTGATTTAATTTGACAAACTTGCGTAGGCTGGATAAAAATCGTAGTTGTTAGAATTTGGTACTTAGGATTAGATAATTTGAGTATTCCCTGTGGGATCGACATCCGACTCTCACGAGTCCACTTTTACTACTTGTTTGCGATACGTGCACTTGCGTGTTAGGTATTTAGCACCCAACAAGTTTTTGGCGTCGTTGCCGGGGAATACGGCTAAATTATCTATTTATTCTAATATCAAATTTAAGCAATTTTTCTTACTTCAGCCGTTTTATTTATTTTATTTAATTATTTTATTTGCTTATTTTATTTTTATTATTTTTATTTTAGGTACTTTTTAGGCGAATGGAAGAAGAGAATAATCGTAGGGGAGATGACCAAGGGCACCTACCGAATGCGGCAAGAAATATCGTCAACGAGCAAGAGCAACAACTCATTAATCCACCACCTCGTCAACGAGCATTACATGAGTACACCGTTCCGACACTCAATGGGTTCCAATCGAGCATCCAGCAGCCCCCCATTGAAGCCAATAATTTCGAAATTAGAGCGGGACTCCTTACTATGCTCCACAACAATGGGTTGTTCAGCGGATTAGCTCATGAAGATCCGCATC